TAACAGTTTGCGCAGCGCTTATACCAGTCTTGTCAGCCGCGGGCAAATGAGCCTGGCTACACGCTCTTTAGCCTTGGGATTGGTTAGTGGTAATTATTTAAACCTCATAAGCCCAAGGCTCCGGGGTTGTGATTGTCCAGTTTCATTCTCACAAGCCTGTATCCTGCTCATGTATATCTTGAATCTTACACCTGTCTTGAATCCTAGTCTTGCCATGTTTCTTTAATCCTGTACCTGTCTTGTTTCTTATATCTTGTACTAGACTTGTATTGTGTATCCTGTATTTATCTTCTATCCAGTTCTTGTCTTGTATTTGTATCCTGTTCCCATCTTCTATCTTGCTTTCTGTTTAGGTCTTGTAACTTGTCACCAGTCAGTGCTACTACTCTGTACCAGGGGGCCGCCTGCGACATTTATAGCCAGACTATATAGTCTAAGACCTGGGGGCAGCAGAGTACCAGTACCTCCCTTTCCCATACTTGCTGTATGGGAAAGGAGGCTGCTAGAGAAGCAACTCGCCACTATACACTGACTTAAGTGTCTGCATTTGTTACCTGTGGAGCCTGTCCTAAGCAATACAGGTTTGCTCCCCTGCCCAGATTTCAAGGTTTAAATCTGAATTAAAGAGAGCTGAAAACCACCTGGACTCAAATATCCAGGGGCTGGGTTATTCTGCGGCTTTCAATTGATACTCAAAGAAAATATACTGACAATGAAATACATAAAATTATTAATTATTAATAACATTAATTAAAAAAAAATACAGCAGGAAAAAAAGTGAAAGAAGCAGGAATACGGTAACACACTCTCCCTAGAACAGACACACACACACACACCTCCAAAAATACAGTGAAGCCGACTTCTTAGCCAATCAGGAAGTAGGTCATAACCCACCGCCCGGCTTCCTGATTAGAAAGGAAGCCGGCTCCATGCTCCTTCGGCACTGCTGGGCAGAGGGAGAGCTCCCTCTTACCGGAAGTTCCGGCATGGGGGGTAAGTATTGGACTATTTGGACGAGTACTTGCCCAAATACTCGGTATTGGCACCGATACTAGTATAGGTGCATCCCTAGTGCAAATCCATTTTATTGATAGTTGCCATTCAAAAGACAAGCGCATTTCTGAGCCTGATGAAGGGAACCTGTGCTGCCCCAAACGCGCTTGTCATTTGAATGACAACTATCAATTAAATGTATTTTGCACTAACATGGAATGTGGACATCTGTTTTGAAATATATATACCATTGTACATAAAAGATGCCCCCACAAAACATGTCACAGGTTGCCTGTGGCATTTTTTTTTAACTTATATTTATTTTGATTTAAAAAAAAAATTAAATACCTGTTTAGAAGTCCAGGTGAGAAGGACAGTCACAGTCAAGCTGCCGGAGGATGATTTCTCCCTCTCTCTCTCTGATGTAACTTCTTCTCACCAACAGGAGAGAAACAGAGAGAGGGGAGTGAAGACAGCGCCACCCGCCGCCAGGTGAGGTTTTTTTAGTCTGCTGCTCTGTCCGGTTTTAATCCTGGGCCCGGGTATGAGGTGGGCTTGCACCCGGGCACAGGATTCCAAACCTAGACTGTCCGGGTGACAACCCTAGCCCTGACAAGGGTGTGCGGCCGAGCGGGACAGGTTAAGGACCTTGGCAGGCCGGAGTTTGAGGTCCCATGGATTAGAGTTTCACCTGGCTCTTTGCAAAGAAAGAGAAGCAGCATTGTGAAGCTTCTTCGATGCCGAATGAAGAAAAGGGTCACAAAGCACATGTACGACACTTCACCCAGCGGATGACGTCAGCACTCAGTCCCTCAGTATTAATCCTGCCTGCAAGAAGACCTTCAGAAAGCAGGACCTCTGAAAGGCCTCCACCAGTGGAAATAGCGAGGCAGCTTCAGGTGATCAGCCAGTTCGGCCAACTCACAGAGTGAGTCTTCAGAGATAGGGCAAGTGCAGAGGCCTGGAAAGAGCACCACAGCTAACTTGTTATCAGAACGGAGTCTGGAAAGCATCTAACACAGCACCCAATGGTCAAAAGTTATGTCCTGGGTAGAGCCACACATCTAGTCCAGCGGGGTCTGGGTACAGCACTCCAAAGCTAAGCTGAGGAAAGACCATTCTGGATGCCATTGTAGAAACAAGATCAAGCAGCAATGTAGTGAGGAATCTTGAATGAAGAGACAAAGAAAACCCCCCAAAAAAAGAAGCAGATAGTAAAAATGGTTAATTTTTCCCCGCAGAGCAGATGAAAAAAAAAAATATCCATCCTCCTAGGACACTAGCAAAAAAAAACAAAACTGGGATTGTGGTAGTAGGAGGTGTTATCCTAGGCTGGCCTACAAATTTTTTGTGTTGGTCAGTATCAATGCTCCTATTGGCAGCAGTATAGCACAACAGTATATGAATTCCTGTTTCCCTCAGTGGTCGAGAAAGAAATATTAATTAATCTGCTGAGCATTTGTTTAGATGTGGAAAAATAAGTGGGTTACTCTTATTATGCAAGAACAACCAGCGGCTGGCCAAAATATGCCAATTATTTTTCTCCCAGATGACACTAACCTGAAAAGTAATCACCTACCTAATGTATGGATACTTCTGGACTGGCCACCAGAAAGTGATCACCCCTTTTGCAAATAGTGTTCGAATATGGTATGCACTTTTCAACTTAAAATAATAGCAGCATTGTTGTATAGTAGGCTATGTGTATTGGTAATTCGGCTAAATAACAGTCGTTTAAGACATGGGCAGCACACAGATTTTTAGGAATGTCAGTGATCCCAATCCATGCACCAGTGAAGTCCCAGATTCCTTCATGTTTATGGCTTGCCTACAAGGAATAATCCATTAAAGCAGTTATAAGATAGATTTATGTATATATTCACAAATAATACATTTTATAGATGACCAGCCAGGCTGCTAGACTTTTTTTCCTGCAGCCTCTTTTTCCCCGGGCTCCGGCGGTCTAAGGACCAGTGATGTGATCACGTCCATTCACTTGCATTGGACATGAGGACGCAGAGGGACATTCCACAGCAAGAGCGGAGAGGAAGAGAGGTGAACGGTCACCTCCAGGGGACTGAGGATCAGGTGAGTATATCTTTTTTTTTTTTTTTTACCCTAGGCCTGAACACTTAACCCTTGCAATGTGGGGGTAGCCCTACTGCAAGGGTTAATGTTTAACTTCTTATTAAGCAAATACTTCTTATTAAGCAAACCTCTGTGAATTTGTGTAAAGTGTACGTTAGCAAACAAGGTGAACCTGTGTTTTCTTCCAATACCAAATTATGAGCAAAAGGTGTATAAAAGGGGGGAAAAAAACACGCCAACAGAATTTTTCCAAGCACACGATTGGCTTCACCTTATTTACTAAGCTCAATGAACAATCAATTTGCTGAATGAACAGCATCAAAAATCAACAGTGAACAGCAGCAAATCAACTGAACAGTATACGTTGGGGATAAAAGAATACACAAGAGAGGTTATTAAATTGAGTTTTAAGCTACTTACACTATGCAAAGTACAATAATTATTACAGTTGATGTATATTGCTTATAAGTACTGCTGCTGTGGCAACACTCACATAAATTCATGTCCAGTGGCACAGGTAATATTTTGGGGTAGACTATCCGGAATAGTGTATAAGATGAATATGCCTTAATTTAGACCAGCGTGATCGGTGGTGGTGCGCAATGCGTGACCGCCCGGCCATCATGCATGAAACCGAGCGGAGGGCTGGGCGGTCACGGAAACGCACACTACCACCGATCGCGCTGGCAGTGCCATTATTTTCTAATGGCACTCCATTCGCGCCAGGCAGATCGCACGGTTTCCCGCTGCAATACCGCCCGGGCGGTCCCACGCGATCGCAGTTGAAAACATGAATAGGTTAAATTATCCCACAGGCAGATGCATGATCGGATTTGTAGTTTCACTACAGCTGTGTGAAAGCAAATAAAAAATGTTTTATTGTTCTAAAACAGTCTTAAATTAAAGTTCTTCATAATCAAAGAAAAGTGGCCTAAAATCATTAGTCTGTAATGTTTTTTTTTTTAAATGTCACCTGTCCCTTTAAGAAATAGTATCAGTAATTGGTATTGGCAAGTACATGTACTTGAAAAAGTGGTATCGGGACATCCCTAACTGTATGTATATATAGATATATTCTTGGCGGCATGCGCAAGGGGGCGTGTCTGAGCGGACGTCTAGAGACGCCCGCTCAGATCTAGAGAGCTCCTGGCCGGCCGTTTTTTTACTACGGCCGGCCCGGAGGCAGTTAATGGTAATATACAGTATGTATAAACTTTTTTCCAAGCATACACTTCATCGAGAGCTGGCCTCATTGTACGATAAGGTTAGAACATATCTGCTGAACAACTCTCCTAGTTTCTGCACTTTTCCCCAAAACTTGAATCTGACCTGTTATATTACAGCATTAATGTTGAACCAAAAGTACAGTTAACACCATATAGTTTTTGATAGAAGTCTTGCACGCGTGCTCACTTTTTTTCCATTCAGCAGTCAGTTATTATTTTGACACTGGGGCAAGCATCATTCCCTGTGGCAGAGCTAAAATCATGACATTGTAATAGATTCGGCTTTGATGAGTATCAGATATGTAAAAAAGGTTCTGATATAAGCAGTACTACTGCCTGAGTAATGAACATATTAGGGTTGGCCAACCCTAGAGGGCCATGTCAGTTCCAATTAATTCAATAGATTCTAAGACAACATCACATGATAATACGCCACTTATTACAATATTGTTCTGCTAACAACTATGAATGCTATTTTCTCTGCAACAAAGTAATTATGTTTTCTCTTGCCCCAGAATGTCTCGATATTCTTCCAGTTCCTTGTTACATCCCGATTCTGGTATGATACTCTCAACAAAAAGCTTGCCTCAGTGGCAGAGTCTGGTGTCAACAAAAAAAAGGCTAAGGTAGCAAAACAGGAAAAATGGCAAGATGGGAAGAGATTCAACCTAGAAAAAAGGTAACAAGTCCTGGCAATGATCGGCACAGTGCTGCGTGTTATCAAGAGATTCCTCTTTTGCTTTTCTGTATAAGCGATTGTCTGAGTGCATTAATCTTCTGGTCTAGTTCCGCCAAAGAGTATCTCTGCAATGTTTAAAAAGAACAGGTAGGAGATTATAACATACTTTAGAACAGAACTGTAGGCAAGCAGCTTAATATAAAGCCCCAACATGTACGTGTGATCGATTTTACAGAATTTGTAATTTTTTTATTTATTAAATCTTTATTCAAGTTTTTGACATCAAATTTTTACAACAATTTCATACAAAGTAAAGAAAGAATTTGTCATTTTGTTCTGCCTCTCCTGAAATTCCTTTTTGCACTGCTGTCACTATAGCCACATCCCTGATGTCACTTTATTCTCTACAGCTAAAGCAATACAGTTTGGTTAGAAATCGGTCATAGTCTTTACCCGGATAATAAAGCCCGATGGGTTGGTTTACAGTGCTGGTTGGTTTACAGTGCTGTTCCTATCTTTAAACCACCTCCCATCAATGGCCGTTCCTGAACGGCTGGACGGGAGCCTTTTAGAAACGGGAGGGTGTCCTAAGACGTCCTTCCCCTCCCCCCGCTTGTGCGCAGCGCCCACAAGAGTGGGGAAACTTGTCAGAAATGTAAACAGCGATGGCTGTTTACATTCAAGCGATCGACGCCCGATCGCTTGTAGTAGGTGTGCGCCCCCCGTCCGCAGTTTGAGTCGTTGCAGGTCTTGAGACCCGCTGTGCCCGGCACGGCGACTCTGTCAGTGGGGATCAAAGGGAGATCAGTACACAATCTCCCTTTAAACTCCTCTCTGGTCCCTGAATGCAGGAAGTGTTGTATATTACATCACTTCTGCATTCAGTGTCACTCTCCGACAACAGATGCCGGTGAGAAGCTAGTGACGCAGATCTCTGCTTCATCAGCTTCTCTGGAGACCCCTGATGTCTCCATAAAGAGGACCTGTCATGTGAATTGGCCATCACATAGGGGATTTCTTAGCCACAAATGCGATCGCAATAAAGTGTAAAAAAAAAAAAAAAATTAAAGCATAAAAAATATATAAAAGAAGCTTAAAAAAAATAGTCACAAATAAAATAAAAAATAAAAAAGTAAAATAAACAAAAACATTTGTAAAGTCCCCGGCCCCTTACACCGGGACCGGAAACAGCACGCCGCCTTCCGGGACCTCGTCCAGTCCTCCCCTCCCCCAGCCAGGTAAGACATCCCCCGAAAATAAGACCTAGTGTCTTTATTCGTGCAAAAAAAATTAAAAATAAGACAGTGCCTTATTTTCAGGGAAACACGGTATTACATATCATCGCGAACGCAGTGAGAGCAATCATTTTAGGGCCATTAATTACTGATAACACTAATAACACTAAACTGATGAGCGGTAAAAGCTTTTAAAGCGTTGCCTATTGACAATTTTGGGTGTGGTAATTTTCTGCCATTTCGCGGGCGCGCGCAATTTTAAGGCTTTAAGACATGTTTTGTGTCTATTTACCCGACTTCACAGGAAAGTCCATGAGCCCATCGCACTCCTGACCGTTCACTCCAAAGAAAAAAGCTGGGGGCTGTGGTGATCAACGGGTGGCAGCCGTGACAAACATGTAGAAAACGGGGTCACGTCGGGTAAATATGTAGAAAATCAGGGATACCGGCACTCCAATAGCGATGCAAAACAACGTCTATTTAATTACGTGATACACAAGATGCAACAAGTGTTTCGGGGTCACACAGGATCCCCTTCCTCAGGCAAAAGACATGTTAAATAGACGTTGTTTTGCATCTCTATTGGAGTGCCGGTATCCCTGATTTTCTACATATTTAACCGACGTGACCACGTTTAAATTTTACCAAAAATTTGGGGTGATAATAAAATGTTTCATAACATTTTATAGGGAAACAGGTTTTAAAAAAAAAAATTTAGGGTACTTTTTTTGTTATGTAGTAAAAAAATAAAACCCCCAGTGGTGATTAAATACCACCAAAGCTCGATTTGTCCCCAAAAAATGGTATCAAATTCATTTCAGTACAGCGTTGCATGACAGAATAATGGTCAGTCAAAGTACCGCAGCGCTGAATACTGAAAAATGGCCTGGCCAGGAAGGGGGCTTAACACCCTGGTCTTTACGTGGTTAAGAATCTGAATTCTGCTCTACAGGGGATTACATGAAGCCAATATAAAGACATTTTGAATTACCGTATTTTTCGCTCCATAAGACGCACTTTTTTCCCTCATAGTTCTCCTTTAACTGCCTCCGGGCCGGCCGTAGTAAAAAAAACTGCCGGCCAAGAGCTGTCTAGATCTGAGCGGGCGTCTTTATGTTCGACAGAAGACGTGCGACCGTACAGTAGAAACGGTCGCACGTCTCTGTTCACACTGCTCGATTATCGTACGAAAAACCGATCGCATACGATTATCGTACGATAATTGTGCAGTGTATGGGCACATTAAGGCTGGGTTCACACCTGGGCGTACAGAATATGGGCGTGTGCAGCGTGTTTTTACCGCGATTTGCGGTAAAAGACAAACGTGCGTTTACGAGGGCTATCCGGCTGTATCCTAATGGATACGCGCGGAAAATACGCCCCAAAGAAGCTCCTGTACTTCTTTGGGTGTGGGAACCATGCCCATAGGCAATTATTGGTATTCACATGTTGAGCGTTTTACAGAGCGTCTCTACGCGCTGTAAAATGTCCAGGTGTGAACCAGGCCTTAGGGAACCATTCAGGTAATCATTCACTCCCTGCACAGGTATTTCTCCCCGATAGACACAGCAGTCTTCATTCACCCAATGACTGCTCACATAACCTCTCTGTTAGGACACCTACATTTAGAAAACCATAAAAAAAAATATAGATTTACCTGTGAAGGGAGGCCTTTCTTTCTCTTATTTGGCATATCCTGAAAATAAAAAGAGAATAGTAAAGTGTATGGATATAGAGATTTTAATACAGTATGTAATAACCCTTTCCCTGCCACCTCAGTAAGGCTTACGGCGGAACACAACCGCTCCCAGCTGGCCACCTCAGTAAGCCTTAAGTCGGTGGCTTTCTCCCTTCTGGTAAGCTCATGGTCGCTTTCTCCTGACAGTCCCCTATAAATTAATAGCCGTCATCAGTGCCCCCTCCCCCAAGAGCTGATCACTCCAATGTTTGTAAACAACTGGGGACACATAGTACTGTGTGTCGCCCGGTTAGGAATGATCAGGAAGTACTTTTACATATAATAAATATATGTGATATGCTGTGTTGCGATCAAATGTACGCCTGTATCATTTTATCACAACACAGTGCACAAACTATTTTTAACATACGTCGCTTATTTACAATTTTGCGTTACTTTTTTATTTTTACCTTTTCCCAAAAAGCAGCAATTTAAAATTTACAAATATTTATTTATTAATTCAATACAGTTTTATCTTTTAGATTTAGTCGGAAAAGTATTTTTTTGTGCACCGATACTGATTTGTGTATTTTTATCGGTTTAATTTTGATTTTATAAACATTTGCACAATTAATTGCAGGACCTACAAAATTAGTAGTACCATCTTTTTATTCTATCAGTGGGTGCTTTTACAAACGCTATTAACGCAGCAGTAGAGAATTAAAATAATGGGAAAAATTGCAAAAATGGTGTGTTGAGGTTAAAATGGTGTGCCAGTTGAGGCTAAAAGCATTCCGGGGGGCTTGGCAGTGAAAGGGTTAAAGTGGGAGTTTACCCCCCCCTTCCACTAGAAACCACATCAGCGTGCAGCTATGTGTACTGAGTTTAGGAATCACAAGGAACAGAGAATTCCCCCTCCTGGGACATCTGTAGTGGCCGCAATGCAAACTGGAAATTTGTGGTTTTATCTGTATATACATCCTTTACATGAAGAGGCTGGAGGACCGATAAGCAGCAATCCAATCAAGAGTCTTTGTAAAAGTAAGCAAGTTGTGTATAATATACATACAAAGAGTTTTTAATATTCAAGACTTAATGTTGAAGAATTGACTATAGCTCTCTTTTAAGGATTCCTATCTTGTTTGTACTGAAGTGGTACACAAATAAATTTATTTTCTAATCTCAGCAGTTATTTTAAGTGTTCTAAAGAACACCAGGCCAAATTGTATAGCTGAAAATGTATAGGCGTAGCTGTTGCTGAAACGCAGTGAAGTGTGTCCAATTTCAAAGTCAGAAAATATAAAGCAACGGCCTTGGTATGCTGCTTACACTTTTTGAGTGAAATAAACAAAACATAAAACCACATTAGAATAAATCTGAATTCCATTGCTCGACGTGTGGACAGGTCTGCCTACAGTGGGATAATGTTTGAAATTATAGGACTCAGACTAATAGCATAGTGCAGCAACTAACAATTTCTTGTCTACTGTGTCTTCATCGACTGCAAGCAGCAGCAGGAGATGGAACATCACATCCCAGCAATATACAGTAATAGGAAAGCAATTTTTTGTGAAGCGAATGCAGTTAAAAGGGATAAACAAAAATGCTTAAAGGGGAACTGTAACCCTGCCCTATCTCATTAAAAGGGAAATTATTATGGTTTGGGGTAAAATTTATTTTTACTAGGGATGCACCTATACTCATACCTGCCCAAATGCTCCGATACCGGTCAGAGGAAATCTTCTAAAAGTAAAAAAACGTAAAGAGAACACTTTTTTTTTTCTCCCCAGTTTTGATTATTATAATTTTTTAGAAAAATAGCACAGCTAAAAAAAAAAAATGCATTTAAATAAATTTGTTTTATTTGTCCTTTATTTGGAAGCCCCTCCCTAGAATGTTAGGAACATTTCTGTACTTCTCAGCCTAAAACTAAAAGCTAACATTTTAATTTTTTTTTTCTTTTTTCCTCTAAAAGCTAATAGTGGTCTCCTGGCATACAATGACACTGCCACCAAGTGTCACACTTAGTAACAGTGACATACTTTGAACATCACCATCATGAGGGGGGTAAATTAAACTAAAATTAATTTTTTTAAACATTTTACACACTTTTATCTTATTTTAATTATGTCAAGCCGTCATTGTGAATGAATCTCACTATGACCGCTTGATAATTGTATTAATTACTTTTTGGTTATTATTAGGCTGCTCCAAACATAAGAACAGCCAAAAGTAACCTTAGGGACACTGATTCGGACAGAATCGTGCAACATTGTTGTTACAGCATAGAAACATGTAGCTAATTTCCTAATCCCGATCTGTACAGCTGTCAAACAGTGACAGCAAGTGCAGGTAAATATCGCTCTGCTATCACTGTCATAGTTACATAGTTACATAGTATTTGAGGTTGAATAAAGACATTAGTCCATCAAGTCCAACCTATTAGGATCTCATTCTAGGAGTACCCGTACCCCTGTATATTACGGTCCCTTAAGAAATCATCCAAAAGTTTCTTGAACAATTCCACATTATTTGCTGAAATCACCGCCTGTAGCAGTGAGTTCCAGACCCTAACTGATCTTACTGTGAAGAACCCCCTTCGCCCCTTGTGCTGGAATTTTTTTCCACCAATTTTAGGTGATGGACTGTCAGACACCCAATCCCTGAAAGGGGTATCTGTAAAAGCTTAACTCTTTCATTAATGAATTCCTCAATACTGAGGCATCCATTAATGAAAGGTAACAACTGATTCTCAGCGGTTACCGGCATTACAGATCCCCAAATAGCTGCTCACGTACAGTGCATGTCTCCCATTACTAAGGGGTTAATGTCGAAGCTATCCAGTGCAGTCTAGGAGAATAATAATAAGTTAGTTAGAGGACACGTGCTTAACATGCAAAAACGTTTAAAAAAAAAAAAAAGGCCAGAAAACTTTTTCCCGCTTTTTGATGTCCCGCTGAGCAGCCATCCCTTTCCTTCCAGTCACAGAGACGCAACAGTGAGAGGAAACCCCACTGACACTCTTATCACTGGAACAAATGTCTCCATTTGAAGGCTTCCCTACATTCTGTTGCATGACAACTGAAAATTTTGGATTTCTCATTACTTTACATTCTAGAGGCAACAGTCACCAGGACAAAGGGAGAGGTTGAATCCCTTCAGTGTGGGCACACACAGCAATATAAACCCGACAGGGCTTCCGTTTACACAGTTTTCTGGATACTTTTAATAAAGTATTGAAGATTACAACTTTATATAAAAGTATTGGCAAAAAAGGGAGGAAAGAGTAAAAGGGGATCATAGGGACTCAAACAGTTTAATCAAACTTATATTGATGTGGCTGAGCAACTATTTCACAGAAAATAACAGCAAGCCGAAAAAATTGCAATCCAGATGATTTCAAAGCTCTGGAGACCCATTTTCTGCTGCCATGGCAGAAATAGGGAGGGCAACACAGTACATCATACTCTACAGAGAGACAACACAGCTTTAAAGTAAAATAAATGTGATCAATCACCATTGTGTCCAAGACATGAAAAAAAATATAGACATAAATTTGCATCCATCTATCTATACACACACACTTATTTTTACGGCCTATTCACAGGTGCAGGATCTGTATACCATGAAAACAAGCCAAATCTCTGTACCTGGGAGCCATGGGCATTGCATACAGCCTGCATAGGGCATACATACCAGGGGTGCGGACATTTTTTACAAAAATACTTGTCCAAGGGCTAAAGTGGGGGTCGAATCTACTTATCCCAATCCCCAAAAAATTTTTTAATCAAAACTAGAGATGCACCGATACCGTTTTTTGGGTACAGAGTACCGATATTTTGCTTTCGGTACTCACTGATACCGAGTACCGATACCAGTGCTTCCATTGGCATGGAGCGGGCTTCCCAGGCAATTAGGAAGCTGGGCAGCAGGTAATGACATGCCACCCGGCTTCATGATTGCCAGGGAAGCCGACTCAATGTTGTTTGGCCGGTTTGATTGTGACTGGCCGGGAAAATCGGCTTCCCAGCCAATTAGCATCGAGCCAGGTTCCCAGCCAATCAGAAAGGCGGGCGGCGAGTAATGACCGGATTGGCTGGGAAGCCGGCTTCCCGGCCAATCAGCATCAAGCTGGCTTCCCGGCCAATCAGGAAACTGGGAGGCGGGTCATTACTCGCTGTTCCCCCGCTTCCTCATTGCTCGGGATGCTGGCTTCATGTTCCCCTACTGAGTAGAAGTTGGTTTACATTTTTTAACTTTATCACTTTTATTTTTTTAAATTTTATTCTTTGCTGTTTTATAACTTTTTTTATTTTTTACATTTTTATTATTATTTTTAACTTTTTTCACTTAATTTTATTCCCATCACGTAGGGGCTTACAAGCCCATATGTGATCGTTTGGACACAGATGTTCTGTGCAGTTCCCGACAGCTGAGATTACAGCGCACCAGTCTCAGTGATCACACAGAGCAGATAAAGAACGGATGTTCATCGTCTGCTCTAGACTCTCTTTGGCTGAGCTGTTGTTCCGTGGCCCTGGGTCCCCCAGGAGAGCGGGAGACCACGAAAACCGCGGCGGACAAGATTGCTGCTGCTCGTTTCATACAAGTGATCTGATCAGATCACTTGTATAAAAACGAGCAGCAGCTCCCCGATGTACATTTAGCTCTGCTTATCCAAAGCAGGGCTAAAACAACAAAACACCAGGCGTATCCTCGTTCCCAGATTTCGCTCAAACATACTGTACATGCAGATTTGTCCAATGTGGAGAAAACTGCACAGTTCATGAATCCTAGTTGCTTGGAATCAAGAATTGTGAGATTCTCCATTGACTGAATACACTTGTAGACGCAGAGAGAATCAAAAAAGCACCAAGAGCAATATTCACACAAGCTATTTAAATCATTTACTAAATTGACTAGAAATGCAACTTGTATATGGATACTCACTGAGGAAACTAGTAGGAGAAAATATAACACTGCAAATAAGATGCAATTATTCCAAGCTCCATGATTTCCCCATTGCTGGTACTTACCATTGACTGGAAATATTCAGGGGAAATGCCCTCTAACTCCAAGATTCTGTCTTCTATCTTTTTAATTCTCTGATAAATGTCTTTAGGTACAGGCCCTCCTAGTATAAGGTAGAAGAAAAAACAAAAACACCACATTAAGCTTGGCTTCCCGAGTGCATGTTTATACTGACATTCAACAGCTCTAGAATCTTTAAACTGGTTTCTTTTGGGATTTACATTTAAAATTGCTAGCATTATTTGAATACCATTAGGAGCGTGTTCCACCTCTCTATGTGAAAGAGACGTAAGATGGCTATACTGGAAGCCTACCCTGAATTATTAGGATGAATATTCTGATCTTCCATATATAAAATGTTCCGTTTTTTTTCTCGATACCACAAGCAGATTGGGAGAACTGTTGTCACTACTGTTGTCTACAGAATATTTCTTTTGTTTCCAAAGAAAAATTTTGCTTGACACTTCCATAGCTTTTGTTGGAGTAACATTATAGGGGACAAACAAAACTGTGTTTCCGCTGACCTCTTTGTACAGTACAATATTTTGCTGAAAAATATAGTTATACTTCAAATGGAATCTTGTACTGAAACAATACCAGTTGCCTGGCTGTCATTCTGACCTGAGAACATCAATATTTTCTAAGTGCCGGATGTGGAAGGGAAATGCAGAGCTGGAGTTCTGACTTTACTCAATGTGGGCACACTTTTTCCCAGTCAGTGTAGAAGCCAGACAGCAAAGGAACTAGCAAGTTCATCGTCAATCTGTATTTGTCTCAGTACAGAATTCCTTTAAAACTGGCCTGATCTATAATACCCTTGGAAGCATTTGTAAAGTCATATGATTTAGTTGGGAAATCACAACTTATAGCAATGATATTGAAAAATAGGGTAGATGGGTTTTAGCACTTTACCCAAGGGTATAATCAGGAGAATAACAGAAGTTATTTTGGTACATTTCATCTTTTTTTAAACAAAGTGGCTATTCATAAATTGTTTTCCATTATATGTCAGTTTTCGTCTATTTTTCCCCTTACTCAGTACCATATTATTAACAAGTCACCCTTAATGCTTGTCAAGTGTTTACTGAGTAACTCTTAATAATTGTAGATAATTGTAGATAAGCATCAATTGCTTCTTATCCCTGCATGCCTTTAATAAAAGCCCCTTTAAAACAAAATACATATATACAGTGAACTTAGTTAACAGAAAAAAAAAAATCTCCAGGCATTACAACTAAAACTCTAGAAGAGAGACATTTGCAAATGTTTAGTGTATGAGGGGAAAAAAAAAAAACACACACACACACACACACACACACACTTTATTTATTTTTATTACTGTGGGAATGTACCGTGCGGTGTACTGGCTCATTCTCAGCATACATAGAATAAAGTCACGTACAATGTAACTCATCTGCAGGAGTTACATCATCAGTGGCTGTCCAATCACTGCCTTGATCTGTCACTCCTGGATGAGGGCACAATGATGGGTTAGGCTGCATTCACGCACGGCTTGCATGTAAGTTTGCCACTCTTGCTGCAAGAACCTACGGATTCTTGCGGCAGGAATCCCAGGTGTCCCGGTTCAGATGTGGCCACAGCGCCCATTCAAGTTAATGTCAGAGTGACAGCAGCTGTATCTGTCGCAGAACCCCATCATCAACTTCAAAGGGCACACCTGGGATTCCTGCTGCAAGAAACGGTAGGCTCCTGTCACAGAATTCACATACAAGCCCCGCGTGAATGCAGTCTAACATGCATACATGCACATTATGGCAAAAGAGATTTGCAGTTTAACTACCAGAGGGAGCTCTTTATATGACTGCCAATTCAGCCTCCCTATTTAACAACTATTGAGATAAGATTGAAGCCACACAGGAAGTACATTATTTTCATCTGACTTGCATTGCTAGAATGAGCTGGAAAGCAAAGCAGTTTTGTAAAACTGCCAACAGGAAGAAGAGTATGTTGTAAGCTGATATGGCTTTCCCCATGTACATATAGATATTGGCAAACTATACACAGAAAAAAAAAGAATAAAAAACACACTTTTAATATAATTTATAAATCAAGCGAATCTCTTTACATGTAAATCTCTTTTTCCCCCCTTTTTTAAAAAGATACCATGATTAGTTTTGCTGGTATAGGGGAGCAGTGCTTTATCAATATGAGAGAGAAGGCTGAGATTCACCCAACCCTAGATATTCTTAAAAACCTTCCTTACTCAACTCCATCTCAGCATTATTGTCACCAGTGCTACGGGTACATTTTAAGTAGAAAAACAATGACTCATAAGAAGACATTACTATTGTTTTAGTATTACATATTTTCACCATTTAACAGCTATATACGGTCACTTTTAAGAAATTATTAGATGTAAGTCAGCTTTTATTTTTGTGAATAATGTTTCCCTGATAAAACATGAAGGTGTTAGCTCTGAGAATAATACAAAGTTAATAATTGGTTTTAATTTCCCATAAAGCAGTTGAATATAGAGATTTTCTTTAGTTATATGTTTTATGAGACAAAAAAAAAATGCTATCATTGCCAGTGTAAACGATATCATGTGTAATACATAAACACTTGATGGTTTTCAATAGTCTGAACGATAAACAGCGCGAAGAAGGGAAAAAAGAAAAAACTCATGTGTTTTAACGTACACTGAAACAGCAATTAGCTTGAATGAATAATTAGCATTACCTGGCTTTAGCTGTAAGTGGCATTCAATGTTGTGTAGTCTCTCTTCTACAGCCTGATTCCCACAATCCCGTTGGAGAGAATGCATTCTTGTGTTAGAAGATGAACCACTGCTTCTAGTCTGAGGGCCATAAGCATTTACAACCCTAGAAACTGTATTGAAGACACAAAGTTGGTTACATTACATGACTGTAAACAGAGTTTCCTTTTATCTCCAAAATCAACCAGCAATCTTTTCCAGCATATAAAAAATGGTTAATGGAAATGGTAAGGGAATAGAAACATGCATCTGTTTAAGGCCCAACTGAAGTCACAGAAATAAATATTCACACACAGACACTGTACTGATAGGTCTCCTTTGTCATAGTTTCACCTCCAACTTCCAGAAGAGCAGTATAGCAGTTGTGTAGTATATCTGAACATGACTGCACAGTCCAATGTCCAATAGGAACCAGGTCAGACATACCCCCACACTTCTCCATAGTACAAAAGTGTGCCTGCTAATTGTAAGAGACTCACCGTCTCCCGTCCCGGAATAACGATACGGGACCGCGCATGCACACAACGGGCCAGGGCTGCCTCTCTCAGCGCACGCGCACGTCGGCTCGTGGCTCCTCCTGGCGCAAGCGCAGGAGCCCTCTTAAGACGCGGCCACACAAATCTTTCGAATATACTGTGATGCCATTCGGATTGTGCAATGCACCCGCAACGTTTCAATGTTTTATCAACGACATTTTTAGAGATCTATTAGACGTGTGCGTAGTGATATACCTCGACGATATTCTCGTCTATTCAGAGAATATTCAAGACCATCGAAAGCATGTCAGATGGATTCTGTCCAGACTGAGGGCCCACAGACTATACGCCAAACTTGAGAAATGTGTCTTCGAGACCGACACTATACCTTTCCTGGGATACGTCATATCCCCAAAAGGTATCCACATGGACCAGTCAAAGGTAGAGTGTATCAAGAACTGGCCTGTTCCACATACCAGAAGAGCACTTCAGCGTTTCCTAGGCTTTGCAAATTTCTACAGGAAATTTATTTCTAATTTTTCTGCAGTGGTCAAACCACTGACTAAGCTGACCAGCTCAAAGACCAGATACTGTTGGGAGGCAGAGGCTCAACGAGCTTTCGAAACCTTAAAAGATCGATTTGTGACTGCTCCCATTCTCAAGATCCCCGATCCTCTACATCACTATGTGCTGGAGGTCGACGCCTCTCATTCAGCCATTGGAGCAGTACTTTCACAGAGGTCCTCCCTACTCACACCACTGCATCCAGTAGCCTTCTTTTCCCGCACCTTAAACAGTGCGGAGATCAACTACCCCATAGGTGAAAAGGAATTGTTGGCTATAAAGGGTGCCCTCGAGAACTGGCGTCACCTTCTCGAAGGAACTGAACACCCCATCATGGTCTATACTGATCATAGGAACCTACAATATCTCAAGACCAGCAAATCTCTGTCTTCCCGTCAGGTTAGATGGAGCTTCTTTTTTGACAGGTTTAATTTCATTATAACCTACCGCCCAGGTTCCAGAAATGGCAAGGCTGACTCCCTCTCCCGGATTCAGGAGTCTGAGAAGATGGAGGAGAGGTTTACACCAATGATTCCACAGGAGAAACTACTTATGGCATCCCTCGACCTAAGACAACGAATACAGAAGGAATTGACCAAAGAGGTAGTACCAGCAGATCTCTCCCTTACTAAGGATACTGAGGGGTTACTCTATAAGGATTCCAAACTGTTCATCCCTCAACCTCTACAGCCCCTTATACTGAAGTCTCTCCATGATGCCCCACTAGCGGGGCACCCTGGAATCTCCAAGACCTTGACATTAGTTAAAAGACTGTTCTGGTGGCCAAGGATGCTCCGCACTGTAAAGGATTACGTCGCCTCCTGTGAGATATGCGCCACTTGTAAACCCGAAAAGAAGAGACCCTACGGACTACTCATGAGTCTCCCCATACCAACCAGGCCCTGGGAGGTGGTGGCACTTGACTTTATAGTGGATTTGCCACTTTCAGATGAGCATAACACCATAATGGTTGTAGTGGATCTTCTCACTAAGATGGCACACTTTGTTCCCCTAAGGAAGCTCCCATCATCCTCCGAAACAGCCGACGCCTTTACTAAAACCATAGTAAGACTACATGGAATACCGGCACGAATAATCTCTGATCGAGGCGTACAGTTCGTGTCCCACTTCTGGAAGGCTCTATGTCTCAAACTTAGAATAGACCACCGGATGTCCAGTGGGTATCACCCCCAAACTAATGGTCAGACGGAGAGGACTAATCAGTGCCTGGAACAATATCTTCGCTGTTATTGCACCCATCTCCAGGATGACTGGTATGATCTTCTCCCGTTAGCTGAGTTCTGTTACAACAACACCACCAACTCCTCCACCAAACATTCACCTTTCTACTCCAACTATGGTTTCCATCCTTCAATTCTACCTCCTGCCTCCATGCCCACCAATATTCCGGCCGTAGAGGATTACGTCAATAATCTCAGTGGAATGGTAGAGATCCTCCGACAAAACATAGAAGAGGCCCAAGCACGTCAGAAACAATACTACGACCTCCGTAGGAGATCTCCCCCTTTATACCAAGTCGGAGACAAGGCTTGGTTATCCACCAAAAATCTGAGAGTAAAGATTCCCTCCAAGAAATTGGGAAAATTATACATAGGTCCATATCCCGTAGAGAGAGTTATCAACGCCAACACTGTTCGTCTCACCCTTCCACATTGGTTGACGGTGCATCCCACTTTCCATGTATCTCTACTCAAACCATACCTACCAAGTCGCCTCCCCGACAGGGGGTCTCCCCAGGCTCCTCCCATCCTGGTTGAGGGTGAAGAGGAATACGAGATCGAAAAAGTACTGGATTCCCGCAGATTCCGCCGGAAACTTCAATACCTTATACGATGGAAGCACTACGGCCCCAACGAAGATTCTTGGGAGGATGAAGCGAACGTCCATGCTCCCGTATTGGTGAAACAGTTCCACCTAAGGTATCCTCATCGCCCTTCCTCCAAAATGACCCCCAGAGGGGTTCCCCTTAGGGGGGGGTCCTGTAAGAGACTCACCGTCTCCCGTCCCGGAATAACGATACGGGACCGCGCATGCGCACAACGGGCCAGGGCTGCCTCTCTCAGCGCACGCGCACGTCGGCTCGTGGCTCCTCCTGGCGCAAGCGCAGGAGCCCTCTTAAGACGCGGCCACACGAATCTTCGGCGTCCTACTGTTTGCAACAGTGAACGCCGAAGATTCACGCTCTGCAATCCGCAGACCGATTAGGCGGACCTCTAAACAGCCAGCTATTCCCTCACAGTGAAGGAGCCCCGAATCCTCTACCATCCAGCACAGGGGGACTGACACCCAGGAGCCAAGCATCAATCAGCTAAACACCCACTAGGAGTGCTAGCAGCAGCAAGCCTCACAAACAGCAAGTATCTGCTACTACTCTCCCATTAACCATAACGTTAGCAATTGCTTAAACTGGATTAGTCATATCATATATAAGCAACTGTGTGAATTGACTGTAGATCATTTACTATCACCACGTAAAGTTGTTCTATGGTAATACTGGACTCCCTGAGGCAAAACCTTGTATACCAATTGCACTAGTACTTGTCTTCATATATCATCTGTGAATTGATTTAATTAACCTAAGGGGAAGTAGTGGATTAAGCACTAGTGCTCAGTACCATACTTCACCACCGGGTGTCTACCTCACAGTTAACCCTCTCACCCCCAGTAACTACAACTTTAGATACCACGGTTCTGAATGATGTGACATGTCTCACACACTGCTCTAATTTCATGAGAGAGTAAAAGCCGAGACCCCTTACTGAACAGACCGTGAGGTACACACTCCGCAGTTGAGATCCTAGGCTTGCATTGCAGAGTTGTTACACTAATGATCTATGGCAGCATAGAGCACTGGAATGGTAGGGGCAACAAAAGTGCATTCCCACTAAAAGTAATATAATAGGCATTCTAAGTGAAAATCAGAATAAAGTTTGTTTATTTTTTCCCCCTCTTGTTGATACTGCTATATTGTTTGTACATTGTTGAAAATCTTAATTAAAAGAATTATTGAACGAAAGTCAGAATAAAAGCAATAACATATGCGGGCAGAGGACTATAAAGAAGAAGAAAAAAAAAAAAAGAGCTGCGAGACTTCAGTAGGGTTTGAAGTACAGAATATACGATGTTAAGCAGACCAAGTTAAATCACTCTTAGGCCTCACTTAAATGGGCGGCAGGCTCCATGCCCTGTGAAGAGCGATTGCTTTTTGCAGGGCGGTAGAGCAGCAGTTGTCCAGTGTTCAGGAGGAAATTCTGCCACCTCTTGGATGCGGTTTGGTTCCCCCCCACCCCCCAAGGAAGATTTAACTAAAGTGCTGAAGTTGTGTGCCAAACATGGTTGCAGCGCGGTCCCATTCACCTCTATACATGTTGTATCATTTTTAACACACTGCGATGCTTTGCTGCAATGCATACAGCACTGCCCAGTCACAATACTAACACTGCAGCAGGTAACTGAAAACCAAGAATCAAGCACCTGATTTTATTGTCCCTCAGTCGCCTGTCTAAACAAGACATTAATGCATCATAAGCATGGTAACCAGCTGGCCAGTTCGTAGGTCAGTTCTAAGGCCAATCTTGCTTTTTTTTTTATACTGCACCTTTTATATGACTCTTGAATCCAGGAAACGGGGTAAAAACAGCATCGGTTCTGGCACAACTGTTTTCTGCAGGAAATAAGAGCAAATAGTTAAGAGAATACATCATGGCTAAGAAATAATATAGTGCATGGTACTTCTGACAGCAGTACTAAACATTTTTTAATCTAAAACATGGATTTTACAGCTAAGATTTACCTTGAGCAAAAGTGAATTTAATGGATCACGTACAAGTTTTAACCCTTTCGCTGCCAAGCCCTCCGGAACATTTTTCAAATCAGCTGGCCAAGCCATTTTTTTATTTTCTGCAATTTTTTCCTATTGATTTGATTTTCAACTGCTGCGTTGCTAGCGTTTGTAAAAGACCCCCCAAACCATATATTTTCTGAAAGCGCAGGCCCGGTAGAATAAAAAGATGGTGATACTAAATTTGTAGGCCCTGCGATAATTGCGCAAATGTTTCTCAAATTAATATTAAACCGATAAAAATACACAATTCAATTGTTAAAACACACCAAAATCAGTATCCGTGCACAAAAAAAAATATTTTTTGACTAAATCTAAAAGATAAAACTGTATTGAGTTAATAAATAACAAATATTAGCAAATTTGTAATTGCGCCTTTTTGCGAAAAGGTAAAAAAATGAAGGTATGCAAAACTGTAAAT